TTATCAGAAATCAAGCACAGACCACAGTGGTGTGTGATGGAGTGCCAGATGAGTCACATGAGTAGGACACATGCTTAGAGAAGGGCACGACTAGAGGCCTGGGGAACCAGGCAGAGGAGGGCGAGGTTGGGCTGGGGAACCAGGCAGAGGAGGGCGAGAGAGGGCTGGGGAACCAGGCAGAGGAGGGAGAGAGAGGGCTGGGGAACCAGGCAGAGGAGGGAGAGAGAGGGCTGGGGAACCAGGCAGAGGAGGGAGAGAGAGGGCTGGGGAACCAGGCAGAGAGGGAGAGAGAGGGCTGGGGAACAAGGCAGAGGAAAGAGAGAGAGGGCTGGGGAACCAGGCAGAGGAGGGAGAGAGAGGGCTGGGGAACCAGGCAGAGAGGGAGAGAGAGGGCTGGGGTTGAGCCTAAAGAGGTAGAGAGAAAGGTGGGGGGAGGGGCTTGTATTTGGGGGGAATGCCTGGGCAGAAGCAGAGGAGAGGGTTCAGGGTCCCAGTTTTAGGCTGGTATGACCAAGGCCAGGGATCATTTGGGGAGCAGTAAGCCATAAAGAGATGAGTGCACACGATCACAGCTGTGTGTTGGGCAAGTTAAGCTGTAGAGAGAGGCTGGGGCCCAAACCAGTTCAACAGGCTGCTGTGTCCCTCTAGGCAGGAGGTACAGAGGCTCAGCATGGGGAGGCGGCCCCAAGGAACCAGACGCCAGGAACCAAGTTGCTCCCAGGTAAAATGCACAGTCCTGGTGCTGGCTGGGTTTGGGAGCTGTCAGAGATGACTTGGAGATTCTTGGCTGATGATGGCAGAAATCACATGAACAGCAAAGTTCCACCAAGGGGAACTTTGGGAATGATGGGGAAATGAGTGGGATTTAAGTTAAGGTGATGTCTAAGTGCTGACAGATGTAAATGGTCCATGAACAGTGTAGATAGGCAGTTTGGATGCAGGCTAAGTGCTTTTGTACAAATATCTGAGGTGGGAGATGCTTGGAGACTGTGGGAGACTCACGTCCTCCCTGGAATCTTTTTTTTTTTAATTTTTTATTTTTGGCTGTGTTGGGTCTCTGTTGCTGCATGGGCTTTTCTCTGGCTGTGGCGAGCTGGCGTCACTCTCTAGGTGCGGTGTGCAGGCTTCATTGCAGTGGCTTCTCTTGTTGGAGAACATGGGTTCTAGGTGCCCAGACTGCAGTAGTTGTGGCTTCCAGGATTCGTTGCTCTAAGGCACATGGGATCTTCCTGGACCAGGGATTGAACTCACAGTCTCTCGCTCTGGCAGGTGGAGAAGGCGCCCTGCCTGGATTCTGTGTACAGAAAGTGGGATGCTGACTTCCACTGGAGCGTGGAAGCATCTTTTCCATTTGTCTAGATTTGGGCCTTTAATCAGATAGATATGACTTTTGATGCTATTAATGCATGACTCACTCCTTCTAGGAGAGTTCCAGGCCATCTAGTCATTGAGAGGCAAGTATGTGGACTCTGGAGTCAGAGAAACTCTCAAATCATGTCTGTGACCTTGGGCCAAGTGACTTCATCAGTCTGGGTGCTCTGGTTTTCTCATCTATAAAATGGGAACCACATTAACCCCTTGCAGAGTTGATGAGAGGAGTTAAGAGGATCCATTTATTGAACAGATTACTGTACAGAAATTAAGTCATTGAAGCTGCCTAACAACCCAGTGGTTTATAAACATAAACCACATTCCTATGTATGGGAAACAAAGGCACAGAGCAATGACCTGCCCAAAGTCGCAGTGTATCTGGGGCAGAGCTGGGGTTTGGTTCTAAACCTCTGTGCTATATAATACTAGCCTAGAGCCAGCCCTGTATTTTCTTTTTAACTTCAGAGCCATTTCAAACCCACATTTCAGATGTGGCAGCCTTGAGCTGAGGTTGAAGTTCTCCTAGATCAACCTTGGTCTCTCCTCCCCAGCCACCCAGCTTCACCCCACTGTCCCTGCCCAGGCCCAGCCTTGTAGCTGCCTCTCAGCACACCCCGGATGGTGCCCCATCAGCAGGCCTGGAGAGCAGTGGGCTTTGCCCCACGCAGGGTGGTCAGCTAGCTGTACTGCAGGAGCCTGGATGGAATCTCACCTGGGTTCAAGGCTCTGCCATGTGGGGTCTTAGGCAAGTCACAAGTCTCCCTGGAGCTGAGTTTTTCTTTTTCTTTTTCTAATTGGATATAATTGCTTTGGGGGTTTCCCTGATGACTTAGTAGTAAAGAATCTGCCTGCCAATGCAGGAGATTCAGAAGATGTGAGTTCGATCCCTGGGTTGAGAAGATCCCCTGGTGAAGGAAATGGCAACTGACTCCAGTGTTCTTGCCTGGAAAACTCCATCGACAGAGGAGCCTGGCAGGCTACAATCCATGGGGTCACAAAGAGTCGGACACGACTGAGCACAAATGCACATGCACATGTTTTTCCATGTTGTGTTCGCCTCTGCTGTACAACAAGTGAATCTGCTGTTTGTACACACACGTCCCCTCCGTCTTGGACCTCCTTCCCCACCCCCCACCCCCAGGTCACCACAGAGACTGCGCTGAGCTCCCTGTGCTATAAAGCAGGCTCTTCATCTTGGATGCCATATAATGGCAGAGTAATAACAACACTTCTTCGAATGGGCGGTGGTGAGGTTGAGCACAGCTCTTGGCTCTTGCTGGCTAGGCAGGTCCCAGCATCCTGTTCGGAAAGCACACGGAGCCTAGGTGCCAGGCCCAGTGCTGGGTGCTCATGAAGCTGAAGTGAAAGAGATGGTCTCTGCCTTCCTGGAAGCCGGTGATGGCAGGATGTTGGCTTTGATCACAGGAGTATGTGCCATCCTCTGTAGTCACACAGGGAAATTTCCTTGGGCCAAACAAATGCATGAAATCCTCTCATGATGGGAACTCACAGAATCAGCTTCTTTTACCTCCTGGCTTTATCAGTATGAGTGACAGGGACCATACAAGTGCTCCTGAACCACCTAACTTCTGCGCGTTTGGGGATGGGGCTGCATCTCTGAAGAAAATAAAAATCGCAAACAATCCTACCACCCCTGTGTCCCTCATGGAACATTTCTGGATCCTTTCGTGATCATGCTGTGAATGGGACATAAATATGCCTTCTATTCACAATTTATCTAGAGCATTTTCCTGAGGTTGTATTTAGTTTGTTTTGCTGGTTCTTTATAATGGCATGCTCTTTGCTGCGTGGATGTACCATAGTTAATACAATAGTTTCCCAATTTTTATTTTTGACCCTGTAAATAAGAATGCATTTTGGTTGGCATCACATTCCTCCATCAATGTTTACTGGGCCTCATCAACGTCCCAGGAAGAGATGTAGACATTGAGGATGCAGTTATGAGCAAGACAAAGGCCCCTTTTTTGGTAGAGCTTACATTCTGACAGGCAGAAATGATTTCTGTTGAAAAAAAATGGGAAAGGAAACAGACCCAGGTTCTGGGAAACCCTCTCCAAAGAGGTGATCAGAACAAGGCGCTACTTTTGATTTTCCGAGAGAAACAAAAAAAACTGTACCTAGATTTTTAATTCCTATGGGTGAAATTACTGGGTCAGAGATGTATGAAATATGTGTGGAGTTTAGACATTTACCAACTTCTTTCCAGAACTTTGGCAGTGCTCATTTCACTGGATTGCCTCCAGAATCATACATTATACTTAAATTTTTATTTTTTGCTAATTTGATAGTTGAAACTTACCTCACTGTTTTGCATATCTTGGGTTGTTTTTGGAGCCTAACTCTTACTTTGTAATAAGTGTTTGAACCACTTGTACTTCCTCTTCTGTGAATTGTTCATTCCAGTCCTTTGGGTTGCATTGTCTGACGCGTGTGTTAGGACAAGAAGTGCAAGTAGTGAATGTCCCGGTGTGTAGGGAGCCAGGTTTCCTCTCCACGGAGCTGAGAAAGGCTTTGTTGAGAAAATGGGTTGTGAGGAAGTCTCTATCAGAGGCTGGGAAGAATGTGGTTCTGACAAAGGGTTATTAATCCAGGCAGCATAGACTAGTAATCATTGCTACTATTTACCAGGCACTTTCTCGACATAGGACTTCCCTGGTGGCTCAGAGGGTAAAGTGTCTGTCTACAATGTGGGAGACCCAGGTTCAATCCCTGGGTCGGGAAGATCCCCTGGAGAAGGAAACGGCAGCCCACTCCAGTACTATTGCCTCCAAAATCCCATGGACAAATGAGCCCGGTAAGGCTGCAGTCCATGGGGTAAAGAGTTGGACACGACTGAGCAGTTCCACTTTCTGGACATAACCATTAAACTCATAACCCTACAAAGCAGGAAGCATTGTCCCCATTTAATAGATGGCTCAGAGGCCTAAAGGGACTCTCCTAAACACACACCCACTGATAAGGGGCACCTGTGGGCCTTGAACCAGGTCTACTATATCGTGCTTCTCATANTGTCCCCATTTAATAGATGGCTCAGAGGCCTAAAGGGACTCTCCTAAACACACACCCACTGATAAGGGGCACCTGTGGGCCTTGAACCAGGTCTACTATATCGTGCTTCTCATAGAGGACCCAGCGGCAGGTAAAGCAGGTAGAGTGTATACGAGCATGAACACAGACCGTAAGTCCAGTAGGTGAGGTCTATTGCAGATCTTCAGGTGAGCTTGTCCTTTCATGAGAAGCAGATGGGGTGCCCATTGGATGATCGTGAGGGCTTAGTGGGACCACGAGTTGATGAAGATGAATGGGTTCGTGTTCCCTTTCTGACTAAAGGAGAGAGTCACGACAGACCAAGACAGACAGAGCAACCAGAGGAGGCTCGGCTGGTGTACGGATTTGAGGCTAGGATGGGAACATAGGAAACAGTGATTTGGTTCAGTGACAGCCTGGGTGAGTGAGGGAGGGAGGCCCCCGGAGGCATGAAATACGGTGCTTGAGGGTCCACACGTAGGGCATACAAGCATGAATCTTTGCAACCACTGTCTCTTCTTGTGGAAACTGAATGGGCTTCCTTTCAGCGGCTGCTTCTTTAAGCTGTTTTCCTATCACAGACCATGGCTCCTTGGCCTGAGTTGGAAAATGCCCAGCCTACCTCAGAGAAATACACTGTAAAGGCTGATGGTGAGCAGTCTGCCAAGCCTGAGAAAGGCAAGGAGACTGAAAAAGGTAAGCGCCCCTCCTCCAGCCCTGGGCTGGCCCCCTTGGGAAGGCCGAAGGAGACCCAGGCCTGGTTCCTCATTCTCATGGCCTTCTCTGCTTGTTCGGGCAGATGACACCGGTGCCCCTATCACCAAGATAGAACTTGTGCCGTCTCATTCCACTGCGGCACTGATCGAGGAGCCCACCGAGGTGGAAGACCCCTGGGACCTGCCCGAGCTTCAGGACACGGGGATCAAGTGGTCAGGTAAATGAGGGCAGCTGAGGCAGGTGGGAGGGGACTGCCCGCTGGCAAGAGACTGAGATCACGATCTTTATGGTGTCACCTTGGGTCATCTTTTCCCTTCGATTGTTCAAGCAACAGTCCTGGCTTTAAGAGTCAAGCCTCCTGTGATGATTGGGGGATCTTTTATCCTTTCATTCATTCTTTCAACAAATAAACCAGGTTATAACCAGACCAGACCCTGTGCAACAGGAAATGGACGAGGCCCCATCTCTGAGACCCCTGGGGGTTGGGGAAGAGGGGTACCCAGACCTCAATGTGGGCATCAGGAAGAGATTATGGAAGGCAGTCTACATAGACAAAACAGCGGAGATGCAAGCAGATGCCGCACTTCTGTTCCAGGCACTAAGATCAGTCTGCAGGTCAGGTAGAAGGAGGATGTGAGAAAACATGAGTGGAGAAAACGACAGCCGAGGATGTAGGCTTCCAGGACCTGTGAGGGCCCAGACCCTCCCCAGATGGAGGCTGTGATTGCTACCTTGCAGCCACTCTGTTGAAAATATTCTGTGTGGTTCTGAAGGTGCTTAGAAAAGCCTTTATCTCTGACCTTGCATTTAGCAGGGGGCAAGTGCTCTTAAGTGGCTCATCAGTGACACTGCTCTTGCCCCTTTGAGCCCCAGACTTCACCAACCCCCTCCTCGCAAGAGCCCAATCCTTTAGACATTTCACCACAGGTTTCAACTGAATGGACTCCAGTGGTAATTACTTTGAAAACTACAGCCAGCCATGAATGCATCCCATTGCTAGGTCTTGCTAGATTTAAGACTATAGTTGCCTGGCTAGGAGGGGAGTTGGGGGAGTTCTGAGCTCATTGTCAAACTTCTCAGTGTTTCAGCCATGCCTTTTCCCCTCCTCCAGAGAGAGGCACCACGGGGAAGATTCTCTGCATCTTCCAAGGGATTGGGAAATTTATTTTACTTCTGGTGTTTCTCTACTTCTTCGTGTGCTCCTTGGATGTCCTGAGCAGCGCCTTCCAGCTGGTTGGAGGTATGGATGGAGAGGTCAAAGGTCCGGGATGGGGGTTTGATTTCTGTGAATTTATTTCAGAAAGTCACAACTCAGCCAGCCTCATGCAGTTGCAGTCTACCCGAGTGTTCTAGAATGGAAGTCACCTGAGATCATCTGAGGTCATGCCCCATTTTACAGAAGAGAAAACCGATGCCCATGAGAGGGTTATGATAGGCTGGCTGAAGTGGCTTAGGCCAGGCCAGAGCCAAGACAAGGGCAAGCGGTCAGCTCCTGTATTTGTCTGTGATCCCCAGACAGGAAGCTGTTTGACCTAAAGGCTTATGTGAGGGTTTCTGGGTGCCCTGGGGCCTCCCCACCTGAGGGGACCATTGACTAAGAGTGTTCTTAGTCTAAAGCAACTACTCAAAATCAAAGTTGGTCCTTTGCTGGAGAAGGACAGGGGTCCCTTGTTGGGGGATCTGCTTTCACTGCAGTTGTCTGTACACCTCCCAGGACTGAGCATGGAAATGAGGGGTGAGGGGACCCAGAAGTGAAATGGCTGTATGCTTGCTCACCTGCCTACCCCCGATGGACAACAGTAGTAAGAGCCAGCCCTTTAAGTGCCTACTGACGTAGGGGCATTGTCTTAAACATTCCTTCCCAAAGTCCTCGCTTACAGAGGAGTGGGCTAAGGCTCTAGAAGGTTGTACCCAGCACTGAGTTTCACAGCCCATAATTGGCCTAATGGGATCCAAACTGAGATCTGGTAACATGGAAGACTGTAGATTTCTGCACCCCTTGGTTCTGTTCTTGAGAACTCATCTTTGTGGTCTAGGAGAACTGGGGGAGTGTGAGGGGCAGACTGACTTGCTGAATGCCACTCTGGTCTGCCCTCCCACGCAGCATCAGCAAGGGGCCTTGCTGTCTCTCAGACAAGGCATTCCACTCCCCAGTCTTCTTTTAAACATTAATTGGGGGGATGGATTGATGGTCTCAGAGCACACTCTCAAGTGATGTTCCTAGTGTTCAGTTATGGACTGGAGCTAGGGGCTTGAATTGAAGGGGTTGGATAGAGAAGAACGAGAAAATCTACATGGATAAATCTCTTGAGTTGGGAATACATCCCTGACCAGAATGAGGCCATCAGGAGATGCACTGGCATTCATCAAACGAAGCACAGAGCTGAGGCCAGCTTCGTGACCACAGATGGCTAGAGGAGGCTTGCTGATGAACGTGGTTGAAGTAGATAGGAAGGTGCGGGGTGAAGGGACCAGAGGAACAGGGCTGGGTGGGACTAGAGCAGCACTGGGGAGAAGGAAGAAGCAAGACGCCTGAGATACCACCAGCAAGTCTGCAGGCTGGTACCTACAGCCCCCGGCCAGTAACTCGGAGCTGGTCACTAAGCACCCACCTAACACCCATCACATGGCTATGGGTTTGTTTTTCAGGAAAGGTAGCTGGGAAATTCT